TAGTTTATTACCCTCGATAAATCAGTTCAAACAATCTCAGCTTTTTATCCCAGAGGCTTGACCACGCAATATTTTAACACTATAATCAATGGGCCATGGGCTCCTAATATTGCCAAGTTTGACCAGCAATATTAATAGTAGTAGATGACGCTACACAAAAAAGTCATTTAGCCGTACATTCAGACGCTCTCGCAAGCCACCACCAGCAGCCGCACAGCAATTTGAATCCAAGGCAGAATAAGATAACTGAAAAGGCGTGGGAGACTAGAATGCCCGTTTCTGGCTTAGTACTCGTCAGCAGCCAGACAAAAACAAATTCAGGTTTTACTTTCTTCTTGCTCAACCTATATTCGTTGGCTGCAATATAAGAAGGCAATGCATGTTGAAATAAAACTTTAAATTAAGTAATTTTAATGATTTAATGGAAGACGAAGTCATTATAAAATTTACAACCGCAATCGTGCTTAATGCAATGGGAGCTGAATGTTTTGAATCCAGTAGATGAAGGAAGTATGTTCGAAGAGACGAATTAATATTAACGCTTATTATATCCAACGTGTCATTGGTCCTTCCTTTATTTTCTTCATGGACACTGGGGGTCAAATGAACAAACCTTACTGTTCTATTTAAGGTAATTTTAAACTCAAAGGCGATTTGACATAAAATTCTGTAACGATGAATAACCTCACGTCATCTGTAGCTATGCATCTAACTTGAAAACAGACTTCAAATCAATGACCGATTTCTTCGTTCTTCTTATGGTATAGAAATGCCCATAAAATTTGCGTCAAAAGCAGAGACATGTGAAAAATCTTTGGATGAGATGGTGGTATGAGCAGTTTTCATGGCATACTAAAAAAGGCATAAAAAGTGATCCAACCATGTTTCTCACAGTCTAATAATCATTGCGTTAAGTCCAAGTTTTATCTTTCTTTATGGATTGTTTAGAGATAATGGAAAATCAGGAAGGCAGGCATCCCAAGAAATGTACTTTCAAGGAAAGACGTCATTTGGAAAAATGAGTAAATTTATTCAGTAAATTTTCGACATTGGAACCCCATGTCGTCGTCAGACTTGAGAAAAATGTGCAAAGAACAGTTAACATTTCAAAGGGCTGATATAGATATATATTTATCTTGTGTGGACGCTAATTGGTAGTTACAATGCAAGCGAACATGCGTGTCCCAGGAGGCAATTGAAAAGTAGAAGACCCGATCGCTGGGACAATATGTTTATTCGCCTGACGTTTAGACATCCGTCGCGGATTCATCATCAGAGACATGAGTAGGAGAAACATGATGTCTCATGTCTCTGATGATGAATCCGCAACGGATGTCGAAACGTCAGGCGAATAAACGGGTTGTCCCAGCGATCGAGTCTTCTTCTTCTTAATTGCGTCACATCGTGGTGGACATAATTAGCAGTCGCAATAGCGTAGAGGATAAGTGACAACTGTAATTTGAGTCGGTTCGGTGTCAGTCAAGGCCATTCGGTGTGAGCGCTAATTGTGGTTCAGGTTGTTTCATAGTTCTCGGCTGTAGTCTCTTCCACCTTTCTTTGAGGTTTTTGTACACTTCAGCTAACTCGATACGCCGGTTGATGCCGCAGTCATCGAATTGCATGGCCTGAAGAAATTATCGGCCTTTTCTGCAGGGGCACACTCCGACGATGCGTGTTTTGTCCCATGCAAAGATGTGTCCTGTGTTAGGGCAATGCATATCCACTTCGGAAAAATGGTCACGTCTCTTTACTGCCAACTGGTGCTCGTGGATGC